AAATTCTCTGAGCAAATACTGTAATCCCCAATACCCATGTAGTAGACTGAACAGTACAATCCCGTAACCCCCCTAGAGACACTTTTGGGGTGAAACATTGCTTTCCGGGGGTTACGGACAATGAGTACAGCCGAACAGCTTTGGCCTCGAAATTCTCTGATGTTCCTATGTTCTCTTGCTGCGTGTCTTTGCTTCATCTCAATCAAGGTCACCCCTCCCTCCCCTCCCTTTACCACCGTCGGACATAAACTGGGACGTGTTGTTATGTTCGCTTTTTTTCTTGTTCCATCACTTTACTAATTCAGAGTCTCATCATCAAGATGGGGCTATCATATTACCATTCTTAGGCAACAGCTTCCGAGTCCAAAACATAGGATTATGAAGTTCTATTTGTGAAACCAAGCCAATGAAATGAGCTCAATCTTTTGCTCAATCTTTCCATTACAACAGAGAATTTCGAGGCCAAGGCTGGTCAGCTGTACTCATTTCCCGCAACCCCCGGAAAGCAATGTTTGCGCCCAAAAGTGTCTCTAGGGGGGTTGCGGGATCGTACTGTTGAGTATACTACATGGGTATTGGGGGTTACAGTACTTGCTCAATCTTTCCATTACAACAGAGAGTTTCGAGGCCAAAGCTGTTCGGCTGTATTCATTTCCCGCAAACCCCCGGAAAGCAATGTTTGCCCCCAAAAGTGTCTCTAGGGGGGTTGCGGGATCGTACTGTTGAGTGTACTACATAGGTAAAGAGAATTCAGTATTTGCTCAATCTTTCCATTGCAACAGAGAATTTCGAGGCCAAGGCTGGTCAGCTGCACTCATTTCCCGCAACCCCCGGAAAGCAATGTTTGCTCCCAAAAGTCTCTAGGGGGGTTGCGGGATCGTACTGTTGAGTATACTACATGGGTATTGGGGATTACAGTATTTGCTCAATCTTTCGAATACAACCGAGAAGGTCGAGGCCAAAGCTGTTCGGCTGCACTCATTTCCCGCAACCCCCGAAAAGCAATGTTTGCCCCCAAAAGTGTCTCTAGGGGGGTTGCGGGATCGTACAGTTGAGTATATTACATGGGTATTGGGGATTATGATTACAGTATGTGCTCAATCTTTCTATTGCAACAGAGAATTTCGAGGCCAAGGCTGGTCAGCTGTACTCATTTCCCGCAACCCCCGGAAAGCAATGTTTGCGCCCAAAAGTGTCTCTAGGGGGGTTGCGGGATCGTACTGTTGAGTATACTACATAGGTAAAGAGAATTCAGTATTTGCTCAATCTTTCCATTGCAACAGAGAATTTCGAGGCAAAGGCTGGTCAGCTGTACTCATTTCCCGCAACCCCCAGAAAGCAATGTTTGCGTCCAAACGTGTCTCTAGGGGGGTTGCGGGATCGTACTGTTGCAAGGCTGGTCAGCTGTACTCCTTTCCCGCAAACCCCGGAAAGCAATGTTTGCGCCCAAAAGTGTCTCTAGGGGGGTTGCGGGATCGTACTGTTGAGTATACTACATGGGTATTGGGGATTACAGTATTTGCTCAATCTTTCCATTACAACAGAAAATTTGAGGCCAAAGCTGTTCGGCTGTACTCATTTTCCGCAACCCCCGGAAAGCAATGTTTGCTCCCAAAAGTGTCTCTAGGGGGGTTGCGGGATCGTACTGTTGAGTATACTACATGGGTATAGGGGATTACAGCATTTGCTCAATCTTTCCATTGCAACAGAGAATTTCGAGGCCAAGGCTGGTCAGCTGTACTCATTTCCCGCAACCCCCGGAAAGCAATGTTTGCGCCCAAAAGTGTCTCTAGGGGGGTTGCGGGATCGTACTGTTGAGTATACTAACTGGGTATTGGGGATTACAGTATTTGCTCAATCTTTCCATTACAACAGAAAATTTGAGGCCAAAGCTGTTCGGCTGTACTCATTTCCCGCAACCCCCGGAAAGCAATGTTTGCCCCCAAAAGTGTCTCTAGGGGGGTTGCGGGATCGTACGGTTGAGTATACTACATGGGTATTGGGGATTCAGTATTTGCTCAATCAATTTCGAGGCCAAGGCTGGTCAGCTGTACTCATTTCCCGCAAACCCCGGAAAGCAATGTTTGCGCCCAAAAGTGTCTCTAGGGGGGTTGCGGGATCGTACTGTTGAGTATACTAACTGGGTATTGGGGATTACAGTATTTGCTCAATCTTTCCATTACAACAGAGAATTTCGAGGCCAAACTTGTTCGGCTGCACTCATTTTCCGCAACCCCCGGAAAGCAATGTTTGCCCCCAGAAGTGTCTCTAGGGGGGTTGCGGGATCGTACTGTTGAGTATACTACATGGGTATTGGGGATTCAGTATTTGCTCAATCTTTCCATTGCAACAGAGAATTTTGAGTATACTACATGGGTATTGGGGATTACAGCATTTGCTTAATCTTTCCATTACAACAAAAAAAATGAGGCCAAAGCTGTTCGGCTGTACTCATTTTCCGCAACCCCCGGAAAGCAATGTTTGCTCCCAAAAGTGTCTCTAGGGGGGTTGCGGGATCGTACTGTTGAGTATATTACATGGGTATTGGGGATTACAGTATTTGCTCAATCTTTCGAATACAACCGAGAAGGTCGAGGCCAAAGCTGTTTGGCTGTACTCATCTTCCGCAACCCCCGGAAAGCAATGTTTGCCCTCAAAAGTGTCTCTAGGGGGGTTGCGGGATCGTACTGTTGAGTATACTACATAGGTAAAGAGAATAACAGTATTTGCTCAATCTGTCCATTGCAACAGAGAATTTCGAGGCCAAGGCTGGTCAGCTGTACTCATTTCCCGCAACCCCCGGAAAGCAATGTTTGCTCCCAAAAGTGTCTCTAGGGAGGTTGCGGGATCGTACTGTTGAGTATACTACATGGGTATTGGGGATTACAGTATTTGCTCAATCTTTCCATTACAACAGAAAATTTGAGGCCAAAGCTGTTCGGCTGTACTCATGTTCCGCAACCCCCGGAAAGCAATGTTTGCTCCCAAAAGTGTCTCTAGGGGGGTTGCGGGATCGTACTGTTGAGTATACTACATGGGTATATGGGATTACAGTATTTGCTCAATCTTTCCATTGCAACAGAGAATTTCGAGGCCAAAGCTGTTCGGCTGCACTCATTTTCCGCAACCCCCGGAAAGCAATGTTTGCCCCCAAAAGTGTCTCCAGGGGGGTTGCGGGATCGTACTGTTGAGTATACTACATGGGTATTGGGGATTCAGTATTTGCTCAATCTTTCCATTGCAACAGAGATTTTCGAAGCCAAAGCTGTTCGGCAATACTAATTTTCCTTACTTTCCCGTCTCAGCAATTTTGAAGGCCATTGCTTTCAGAAAGTTACGAACACCAACGGATATAGTTTGAATGCTGCTATACACATTACCGCATACACTTCCTTTATTAAAAGCAATAACGCAGTCAATTCCAGACAAGAACCGAACCGAATGGAACCGAATGAATCCATGAACCGGTCTCGACACGAACCACAACGGAACCGAACCGGAACGAACCGCTTCGCGGTTCATAAAGTTATTTTCGAACCGATGCGAATCGATGCGAACCACGGGAACCCTGGTATATATTGTATATATTATACATTGTCCATCTACATATCTACATTGCATAGTATGTAGTAGACGGAAGGCTGGAGGGCAACGGATGGGAAGCTGGTAAAATTTTGGTCTGAGGAGTAGTACTGCTCTTGTTAGTTGTCAGCTACTTCGCTACTATCTGACCCTATGACCCCCAGATCTAAAATCTTCCTACAGCTCTGCCACCGCCACAACTGGCTCTCTTTTCCCATAGGTTTACTGCCCCACTTCCCCACACGGACTGAAAAGCTACGAAACGTCTCCGTCCATGGAAAATCAGTCAAGGCAGGCGTCTATGTAACTATCGACAAGCAAATCGACAAGCGAAACTAAGATAATCTGAATACCATCAGCATGACGCTTCACATCATGTGAGGTTCTCGTGGGGACAGCAGACTGGGTGATTGAAGTGACTTTGTTTTTAAATCAAAATCGTCTGATGTCTGTTTGCTCAAGTACCCAGTTGAAACTGCAGCCGAGTTCCAGCTATGCTGGTATCTCGCGCGGCTTAAGCAGTCTAATGTGCAGCGCGACACTTTACAAGAGCAATGACACACCAGATCCACGCCGGTGCCCGTAGATATATGAACTGTACAGCGAGTTGCTCAAACATGACCAGCATGTCCAAGGCATTCCAAACAAAATGGCAATGTATGGCGATGCAATTCATCAAAAGCAATCCATCACTTGGTGACATCACGTGGCAAAAGCTCAGAAGGTGCCTTGAAACGTCGAGGTTCATCACAATCTGTTTGAGATCACATGTCTGGCAAAGTCTGCGCAGTTCATTGGTGGTCTTCACGGCCCCGTAGCGTACTTCTGCACAACGCTTCAGAACGGAACTCTCTTGAAAGTAGAGCAAACTAGGCAGCAGTGTGCCACGGCAGTTAATCAGATAGAAGGATGTCAAACGGATCTCTAAAGTCTCTAAAGCATTCTGAAACCATGAAATGCATTAGTTGCCACCATAGGACCCATAGGACCCATAGGACCTTTGAAGAGGCATCATGCTGCCCTATGTTACTATGTTTCGACTTTTATGGTGCCCAGAGCGAAGGCTCCGGACTTTGACCGCGGCGCAAAGTGCTTTCCACTGCCACTCGCTGCATTGCTTCGGCAATGAGAGCTTCCCAAGGCTACCAGAACTTTCGCTGAGACTGACAGTCTCTAGACAGGACTGGCAACTTTCAAGAGACTACCAGGCCGTACCCCACAGGAACCTGGAACTCTTGATCTCACCCGTTCGAAAACAAGGCCATCTATGGAATCTATGGCCTATCAAATCATGAAAGGCGTCCAGTGCGCATTGCGGCCCTCTCGACCTTGCAAATCCGCTGTGGGATTTTGGTGGTCAAAGAGAGTGACTGAGTGACCCCTGGGAATTTCTCAGATATATTCTATCAATTCTAGTACTACCAAAACGAGAAACAGAGGAGAACAAAGTTGCAAACATTGCAATTTTCCAGCATCAGCGTCTCTGCCAAGCTGAGGTGAGGGCGGCATTTTAAGAGCATCTCATCCACCTGATCAACTTGGGAATACATTCAAGATTCGAGAAACCATTCTGTTGAATTCAAGAAGATCAAGGAGAATCCCAGACTGCCTCGATCTGATGGCCTATACGGCCATCTCTACTTTCTGGCCTGCTTCGGATTGCTCGCAGCTGCCACGAGGCCGTAGAAGGCTGGCGATGGCCTAAGTGCACAACGTTTTTGCGACGTGTTGGTTGCAGAACTTCAGACATGCCTTTGTATTCTAGATACAGAATCAAATGATATCAAATGCATATATGCTATATCATCGATATCATATTCCAAGAGCCGGACGTTCCAGGACGCGATTTGTACTCAGGATGGTACTGCACGCCCATGAAGAAAGGATGCTCCTGAACGAATCAGGTCAGCAAAAATATGTTGCTCCGACGAGAAACTGCAACCATCGTGCTTGCTCCTTGACACCTAAAAAAGACATTGAAGAAATAGAATGAAATAGATACGAGTCAAAACTCCCGATAGTAACCGAATAGTAAACAAACAAACTTGAGGTCCAAGGGATGGCAAACGAAATCGAGACAAGGTGAAATATCCGAAGTGGAAAAGTACAAGCATCAATGAACATCTTGGCTGCTGCGCCATGCTGACATGAAGAGCACATTGATGTCTTAGATTGCCTTAGCCTATGCACAATTGTGTTGAAATTGGCTCGTGAGGAACATGGCCAAGGGATTCCAGGCTTTTCAAAGTCAATTTCAAGACGTGTCCGCCTAAATATCTTTATATATATATATATCTTTACAGTCCTCAAATGCTGAAAGGAAACAACTATGGTCATATATTAGTATGATCAGATTATGAGGCGCACGCTAGGGATGGGCAGAGCCCATGAAGCATCACGCGTTTGACAATGCAGCCGCACCCAAACACCTGGATTGATTTTCTAAAGCAAGAAGCCAGCTAGCTACCGCTAGCGTTCCTGATTACAACTTCCAAACACAGCTCAACTCGCCACAAGCGTCCTTTGTCGACATTTCTATGATATCCATTCGCTCCTGCAAGTTCCACATAGCCAAGAACATTCCAAACACATCATAAATCCAAACAAAAAACAAAAATCGCGTGGAACTTCCGTGGAATCAATGTGGAATCCCAATGCCAAGATATGCCAAGATATGCCAAGATATGCCAAGATATGCTAAGATATGCTAAGATATGCTAAGGATGTTGGACATCTCCTTGGTCTCATCTTGGCCCGAGAAGATCAAACCTTTGCTCTCCATGCGCTCTTTGTACGCAATGTTGAACTCATAGCCTTGGTTGTCAGCTACAGTAACTTTGAACCAAAAACATGTCCATGTTTGGCATGTTGTAGATATTTGTAGATTCTTAATCACTCTGAATGGATATTATGGGATTTCATCACAAGTGGATATATATATATATATGTGGATATATTATGATATATTTACTGTGTATAATTGTTTGGCAGTGGATGACATGCTCTTGGTGCAACTCATTCACGATGCCGATGGCGCTCCATGACGCGCTGTTGACCACCTTAGTGTCGCATGGGACTGTGTGAGTTCGATGAAATTCCATTAGTGTACAAATGCACATGCACGACCTGAGATGGCGCTGCAAGAAACGATAGAGTAAAAATGAGTAAAACACATATTTGATTGCTTGATCATATTTGATCATTTTTATTAAACATCTTTGTATATATTTGCACACTCTCAAATTTCTCAACGTGTCTTGGTGCTGCTCTGTACTCAAAGAAATGTGCCGAGGATCCATAGAGGGATGAAGCCAAGGAATTCTCTGGATTCGTAAACTCCACGTATCGAGCACCCAGTCTCATGTTGGCACCCATGGTTTCCTCTGATGAAATCTGATGAATCACTGATGAACATTCATTGAATTAATTATGAACATTGATGAACACCATATGAACACCAAGATCTGCCAAGTCTTTGCTGTGTCAGATTCCGTCCTTGGATATTTCAGGCATGAAAATAATGACGTGGTTCTTCGACCTGGCGCAAGGAGAGCCAATATCGCCGGGACATTGCTAAGAGCATGCCAGAGCATGCCAGAGCAAAATGTTCAGCAAGGAGCCACTGCTAAGCCACTGCTAAGACATTGCTAAGCCATTGCAAGCTGCTAGCCATGGTAACACAATGTAAGAATATGTAAGATCCAGACGTTTTGAAAGAATCGAACTCCTCGCTGGTAGCATCAGCTATTCCCAGGACATCTCTTGCGAAGCTTATGAGAGCCACCTGCTGCACCGAAGCAATCCGAAGCCAACTTGACAAAACTTGACAGCGTTGTCAAACACGAGCGACTCGAGCGTCGAGTTGCTCGTTACTTCGAATTTGTTTGTCGGTGAAAGATGTGAAAGTGTCAAGGCTGTCAAGGCTGTAAAGGCTGTAAAGGCCTGCATGCCGAGGCAAACTCCCAGGTAGGGCTTCTTCCATTCACGCCTTGTATGCCAAGGTCCCACCATTCCCACTGGACCAATCGTTTTGGCAAAAAAGGCGACACAGTCAGGGAGTATTTCTGGAATGAGACATGCTTTCACCACTTGTCTGACCTATTGGAGAGGAGATCATGTCATGCTTAGCCCAGTACGCGAGGCTGGCCGCGCGTGCTTTTCCCTCGACACCTGCAGGGTTCAGAGATGTTCAAGGTCAGTTAAAGGAAACAATGCTAGATATTGCTAGATATTGCTAGATATTGCTAGATAATAGATAGGTAGATAGATGGATGCATGGATGGATAGATTCTGCCAACTGCGGCACCTCGATCGCCAAAGCCTCCGGGAACAAACACGCCATCTGCGGCTTTGAGAAGGGCCTGGTTCATGAGTCGTACTTGCTTGGTATGGCAAGACACCGAAGAATCTGCAAAAAAACTCCGTGACACATAGGGACGCTATGAGATGCTATGAGCATGTGACACATACCGACACACAATTTAACAATTGTGGAACAAAGAGAAACCATACTGGAGTTACTGGACTTGTCTGAATCCTTGGGTCATTGATCGCCCTTGCCTCCGCCTCCTGCGCTCGTCTCATCAGCTCCTCGTAATTCCTCGCATCTTTGCTTGGCAGCTCCAGGTGTGTTGCATCAATCCATTCCTGACAGTCACTTCAAGACATGTCAAAGGATGTCAAAGGGGGCCAGGAACGAATCAGGAACGAACCAGGAACAAAGATGCACAATATTGCGCAATTTTATCCAACCACATCCAACCTGTCTTCAAACATGCGCATTGTGTGACTCTGGCAAAACTGTGTAACCGGACTTCAGCGGTGGGCGCTCAAATGCAACAAAAGCTAAGCCGTCAACAATTTTCAGCTTTCCTCGCACAGTTGCAAGTGAATCGCACGTGTTTGATTGATAATGGGCTTCAAACGTGGGAATCACATTGAATCTTCAAATCACCAGCTGCTCCGACATTGGCTGTGCGCCAGTTTAAACGAAGTCGGGGTTCGAGTTACAGCCACCGCTGCATGATTGAGCGCAGCCACGACGGACTGGTATGCATCTCCACCTTGGAGTGTTCTTGTCACATTGTGCAATTTCGTACAATCTCAGCACATGGGGCTCATCTGCAGTGGGAAACAAAGGGAAATGCTGGAAAATATGTGGATCCAGACCCTGAAAGGAAATTGATAGAACTTCTCCGCTGGACCAAGGTTCTCACCGCCTTTGTTGTATTTGCCAACAAAGGCAATGGTCACTGGCATGGCAGCTTCTGCCTGGTTTATTGCCGTCTCTAGGCGTGGTACAAATCCTCCAGCTATACTCAATAAACGCATATGCATCCATATGCAAGCAAGGGACTGCAAATATCAACCACGGTAATACCATTTTTTTTCTATCGATAGGATGATCCTACCTTTGCTTTCTTCTTGTTGGACAAATGTGAGAAATTTGGGATGACACAAAGCCCAGCTATTGATCAAAGTGTCAAATGTATTCACATGTCATGAAATGGGTGTCTGAGATACGCTCTACCATATACCGCCAAATGATCCCAAATGATCCCAAATGGTTACTTTAATATCTTTCGGAAAATGGATGAAAATTGCGATAATTAATGTGGATTATATGTGGATTCAGGGGTACACCGTGGAATTCTTGGCCTGATCCACCTGCTTGGCGAATTTTTCCCAGTCGTTCAAGGTGCGCAAATTCTTGCCGCTGCCAGGCATACCTGGCGAGAGAAGCACTACGATTTCCAACTCTATATTAATAATAGTACTAATAGATACTGTATACTAATATCACATATAATATATTATATACATGTTTAATATATAGATGTGGCTTATTTGTTTATTGATATAGTGTTTATTTTCATTTATCTAATGATTCATTTATTTATCTTATCGGTTTATTCATAGATATGCTTGATTCAGAATTGCAACCAGGCTTTCAAGAATCTCCATGCCAAGTGGCTGTTTTTCGCGACCTGGGCCAATGAAACAACATCAATGCAATGTTGTGAGTGTTTGACAAAACTTCCAAGTGCTTCAAACAGTGAACTCGGAATCACTTATATATCTTGCCAAAAGTCATGCAAATCGTCCAAGTGGAGCAGGCCATTTAGCATTCCAACCATGTGCTGCTGGGCGAAAATGCCTGGAAGTACAGACGGTGCAATCATGTGCAATCTGCCAATCTCCAGTCTGCCTGAAATCTCCTAATTGGCCACTTGGGAAAATGATGGAAAATGGTTGAACGATGTTGAACGTCAGCTGAGGGACCTGGAACGTGGAAAAGATTTGCCACGTCATGAGCACTGATAATTCGGCCAGACTGAATGGCACACCTGCAGCCAAATAAGTTGTGAATTGCAACGCGCAAAAGCATTCTTAAGGAACGATGTCATTTACTTGACTTTGGACCACTGATTGTATCTGATTGTTATCTAGTTCAATGCCCAAGTGATCTCAATTCAACTCAGTTCTTTGCTTTTAGATTGCAACCCGAGTTTGACATTGGCTTAGGTCGCGACTGGTTGGCAATCTTCTTCCTAGTTTCCTCCAGGACTGGATCTGGACCTTGGCATGCTTGTGATTCATCAATCCTTTGCAAGGTATGGCAAATTTTGTACGGCACTTAAGCTGGTGGCATCTGCAAATGATCATGTCCGGCTGCACTCCTGTGCCAAAATTGTGATGTGAGGAAGCAGCAAGTTGCATAACACTGACACGCCTAGCCCCAGCAAAGCTTTCACCTTGGCTGTTCCAAGTGGAATTGGAACAACATGAAAACCACACTCAACGCCGGGGTGGCAAGCTATTTGGAACGGAAGTACAACTTACAAAGAGAGGCCACTTTAAGTTCCTCTTGAAGTCTTGCTGCCCAACACCACAGTCCCAAAACTACTTCCGTTTTGTACGGCATATCATATTGGAACTGCCACTAGGCATTAAGAGAGGCTAGCCTCACAACCCGCAACCCCTGCCAAGTGAGGGTACTCTAGACGACATTTTTTGTATAGTTCTCTTTGCGCATGTGTGTGTGTGTGTCTTCAACCATCCAAAATTAGCGGACGCAAGATATCCTCCTGTATCTTTTTCTTCCGTTGTTGTATGTCTTTTTTGCAGGTAGATACTCCAAACACGACAGGTCAACGTTTAACTACTTCTCGAGATGGCCAAACCAAACCAACCAAGATTGAGAGCCATCAAGTTCTGTGCTGAGATGACGGTGGAAACAATCACAGACTCGCATACCCGTTGAGAAGTGATCATGAAGAATTGAATAAGAAAACAGAACGCCACATGCGACGGGGCTCTAAACAAATCAAGATCAGAGTAAGGCGACAACTTTGGAAAGTCCGACCCCCGTGAAAATCTCCCAGAACGCTGACAACCCCAACCACCTGCCACATCGTAACATGCTGTAACCCTGCAGCATCTGCATGTATGTCGAGATATACAAATAGCAAAACAAGGACGCAAAAAAGATGCCAACATTTTTAAACATGATTCAAATGTTCTATACTGTTCTCAAATGTTCTCAAATGTTCTCAACCCATGCGACTTTCCACAGCGAATAGGCAGAAAAGTACTGGTCAGCCTGGACAAGTTTCAGCCAAGAAGCCGAATGCTGCGTTGGCTTGGTCTTCTGCCCGCTCATGTTCCTTCAGAAATTTCATGAAATTCTATGAAAATCCATGAAATTGCCACTATTTTATACTATTTCATACTATTTCAGACTATTTCCAACTTCAACGCTTGACGCTTGACGAATCTAGGTCTTGATGCTGTCATAATATCATGAGATTTCACGGCGATCGCTTCGTACTAGTGAAAACACCAAGAGCCAGCAAGTCTCGGAATGTAAGAGCAGTGACACCATGCCAGTGAGTTCCTTGGACAGAGCTGAATTGAATCCGCACATTGACATCCCAGGACTACTCCATTTGCTAAATCTCAAGTCTTGAGAATCTCCACATGTCTACATTGACTGTGACTTTCCATGACTTTACCTTTTCCTGTGTCTCAACAAGTCATTCTTGCGTCAACTTGCCTCCCAGCTTCTCAGGGAGTTGGAACTTCAATTGGCGCAAGGCCTCTATGAACGGCATGGACTCGATGTCACCGATAGTACCGCCAAGTTCGATCATGCCTCAAGAAACGGAGTTTGGATATCCTGGTAGGATCTGGTAGGTACAAGCTGAAAATAGCTGAAAGGGCACCGGCAACCTATGACGACTTCTCTGCACCTGCTACATCCTGCTACATTCTCACTGCGAACGGATCACTCACAAACATCCACAAACTCTCCACAAGCCATCGCAAGCCCCCTTCTGTGGATGGTGCATGACAATTCTGCTCGCGGTCCTACATCATCATTCACTACTCACTGTCAACCAAAGCACAAATCTGTGGTGGCAAGCCGGAACTATCCACAGATTGCTGTGCTACACCTTAGATTGGTTCAAACATATTTCCAAGTCGAAAAAAGAAACTCAAACTTGTGAAACTTGCCACAATCAGCAATGGCAAGTGCTTGGCGCTTGCTACTTGAGTCTTTGTTTTACTTTGAACCCTCCTCTTTGCATGCTTTAGTCTTGATATACCTCTTGTCACCAGACCCCCTACTTTGTGCAAGCTTTGATGTGCTGCTTCAATGAGATTGAGGATTTGCTGAAACTCGTTCCAATATGCTGCTACTTCGCAAGCAAAATGCGCACGTCTTAATGCAGTCTTGCCACGATTGATCCACTCTACAATCGCACCAGTAATGTGTGGAACCACTTGCACGGTCTTGCCCAAGTACTTTCCTTCACGTTCCTGCAGCCGGACATCTTTCTATACAGTCGGTGTACGAACACCAGAGCGAACACACTCACATAGGCTTGAACAATCTTGAACAAATTTGCGGATCTATGCTACGAAACAAGAAGTCCTTCTTAATGACTGACTCGTAAATCTTGCCAGTCGTGAGGTTGTTGTCCCTGCAGCCGGCAACTCATTGCGAGTTCACTTCCCAAAATGTGCAAATAAAACCATGCCTCCCCAAGGAAAGGTACATCATCCGCTCGTAGTTGCCCAAATCCAAGTCTGTTTCTCCACCGTCATCTAACCTCAAGCAAGGGTAAATATTTTTCAGTAGCCACTTATCAACTGCAAATGCAACAGCCCTCAAAATCTCAAAAAAACAAGCATATTATCTTATATATGATCCCCGATGGATGGAATTCTTAGGGTCTACAGCCCCCATTCCAGCCAATATGCTGGCTGAAAGGGTAGGTACCAAGACTGAAAGCCATGGGCTGGAAACATGACCCCAACCCCAAAAATTTAGCCAAAGTAGGAAAAGTACTAATATGTTCCCGTGGCTGAAAACTAGGGGATGTGAGGTTACCTTGCATCTTACAACTTACATGTTTCAAGTGGCTGAAATCATAGGCACCTGAGATGCAGGCCAACACACGCACATCCTGTTGAATCTTTCACATCCTGTTTCTGAAGCGTTCAACTT